CCTCATAGAAGATGGGACACATAACTTAAACTCAGATACAATAGACCTTTCACTTTCAAGAAGATAAACCAGAATGACCAAAATACCCCTGACTCGAGCATTCTAACAAATTGGTTTCATAAGATAGACCCAGAACCAAATCAATTTTTAATCAGTATAATTGGTCTGCCCCGATTAGATTCGATTATACTTGAAATCTAAAATTACCTATATGATAATAACAACTTAGAAGTTAGAACTTCCATTTTTGATAATATAACCTTAATAAAAATGACAGTAAAATAACAAACTGTTTATATGGTGATGAACAAGTGTTTTTAGCCAAAATTATCTTGTATACTGTCTATGAAATTTACCCTTTTACTGATAAAATACAACAAAAATTACAAGTAAACCAGGAAACTTTATATATTATTAACTGCATAATCGGTTCAAAACAGCAAGAACCAGTCCCAACTCAATTATTAACAGGGAGACATACACAATAGGAACTGATATAATCGGTTCGGTTGGTTTGGTTCCGTCGGATAGGCCTGACCTATTGCTCTATCTATGGATGATATCCTCCTTGATCTCTCTCTTGTTATGAATTGTCAAACCAAAGTACTGGAAAAAGGTCAAATTGAGTTATTTTTGATCTACTATTTAAGATATAAAATATATAAAAAATAAAAAAATTCCAATTATGACTCTTTGGATCCTGGATCATCTGGGGACAATCTGAAGAATCAAGTGTGTGGCAATCAGTACCCACCACTTCATTTAAGTCCCTTGTGAGGATGATGACAACTGACAACAGTTGGCACCCAAGGACTGTTATTGCCACACACTTGATTCTTCAGATTGTCCCTATATGATGTATGATGCAGGACCCATACAGTCAAAATTGATCTGGTGTAACTGGCCCAGTATTACGACTCAAATTTCAGATCAATATCTGTGTTCTTTAATACGCTTTTATTAAAAAGAAATTTTAATTCACGGGCTGTTGATCAGAATACATTCTGTAGATAGGAGCCTGTAATAAATTCACATACTACAGCTTTAGATACGTGGCCAATCTAGGCCTCTAGGGGATCTTCTGTTGAGTGGGTAATCTGGATAGGACATTTTTTATTTTTAATATCTTGGTTGTAGAAAGCGTGGTTATAGAGAAGTATATAGCAGAAATTTCCTTTGTTTAAACCCTCCCAAGAATTAAAAACCATCAGTGGTTGGCCATATGAATCTTATCCAGATACATTCATGTATGAACACTATATTTTAATAGTATGATATTTGCTATGATACTGCAGGCAATATGGCATATTTCATCTATCTGACCCAAGTGGTGTATCCGTGATCCGTAATTGTCAACAGCGAGGGTTTCATCCTCATGAAGAACCTGAGGATGGCAGCCCAATCTATGAACACTGTTCCCATGTCTATATGAACCCCAATTTGAAGTTTGATGTTGTTGATCTTCGGTGAGCTACTATTCATTCAGTTTGTGCTGGGTTTGTGTGTATATACAATTATACATATTGTAAAGAAGGAATAGTAAATATCTATGGTGGATACCTGTTGAGCTCCTCACGGATGTGAAATTCAACTGGATTCCCAAAGTTGGAACCTGATTGAAAAGAATGACAGTTTCCAAGTCCTGGAATCATCTATTTTAGAAGAGCCGAAGGTTTTCTATATTGTGCTTTTGCGAAAATTTTATGGTCTTGTGATTCCCTCCCCGTTTGTAGACTGTAGAAATGTATACCAGCAACCTTTTTTTAATGTCACATATGTATTTACTTTGGTAAATATAAATATCATATATGTATTGATGTGTTCTAACTGTTCAATTACCCTTGGTGATCCTTAACAATTTTTCTTTATACAATATGAGCGTTCTCTGTGGCAATTGGTATAATTGCTGGAGGGAAGTCGGAACCTTATACTTTGGATACCCTTGTATTTTTTCTGTTCTGATAGTTTTGTGCAGTATGGTCGTTGGTGGATGTTTTGGTGGCTCAGATAAAGTCTGTTCAGAGAGAGAGGAATATAAAGAAAATTCTGTCGAACTAGAGAGTGTAATCCTCTCCCAATCGACCATAACAATTTATTATATCAATTAAGGATAGAAAATCTAATATGCTCCTACTTAAAGTATGGGACAAATAACTTAAAACAAAACAGAATTGACAAATCACTACTTAAAGTATAATGAAAAGATTAAGTGATCCGTATTCAATTGATTCTAATACTCCCCTTCAAGCTAGAGAATATGTCATATAATCCTAGCTTGTTACATGTATAGTTCACTCTCTTTGAACTTAAACTTTTTGTAAACAAGTGATCACTCGAACTCACGTGCTTTGTGCTTATCTTTCTAGTAAGGACTTTCTCCCTTACAAAATAGCAATCAACCTCTGTGTTTTTTTCTCTTATGAAAAATTAGATTAAATGAGATGTGGATTGCTGTTTAATTGTCACAGTACAATCTCATAGGTTTGTTCATTGAGAATCCAACTTCCTGTAAAAGATTTTTCAACCACACTAATTCACATGTGGTGTGTGGCTGTGTGCCATGACCCTGTATTCAACTTCAATACTACTCCTTACTACAATAGTTTGCTTCTAATTCTTTCATGCCACTAGATTTTCTCTAAGAAATGTGTAATAACCTGTAGTGGATATCATGTTAGACATCGAGTTTGTTCAATCTACATCTGTAAACCCAACTATCTCAGGACTTCCTCCTAGCTTGTACAACAACATGTGACCTGGAGTTCCCTTCAAGTACTGTACAATTTTAAGAACTGCATCACAGTGAGGTACTCGGGGGTTTTGTATAAATTGGCTCACCACACTGACGACAATGGAGATATCTGGTTAGGTAATGGTTAGGTAGTTCAGCTTCTCCACTAACCATTTATATATTTTAAGATTATCAAACATTTCACCTACATCACTGCTCAACTTAGCATTTGGTTCCATGGGTGTTTTAGTTGGTTTAACACCTAATAGTCATGTTTCTTTTAACAGATCAAGAGCATATTTTCTTTGGCACAAATTTATACATTGTTTCGACTTGGCAATTTCTATACCTAAGAAATACTTCAATTTCCCAAGATCTTTTGTTTGGAAATGGTTATGCAGAAAGGCGTTTAGCTTGTTAATCCCTAGTCTATCACTATTAGTTATGACTATATTATCCACATAAACCACTAATAAAATCTTTCTGGCTTCAGAAACATAACTGAACACTTAGTGGTCGACCTGACATTGTTTCATCTAAAATATTTTACCACATCACTAAACTTCCCAAACCAAGCACAAAGAGACTGTTTCAGCTCATAAGTTGTTTTCTTGAGCTTACATACCTTACCATCCTCCTCCTGAGCAATAAACCCTGGTGGTTGCTCCATGTAGACTTTCTCCAAAAGATCACTATGGAGGAAGGCATTTGTAGTGTCAAGTTGAAACAAAGGCCAATCATACATAACTGTTGAGAAAATGAAGACACGAATTGAACCAATCTTAGTTACAAGGGAGAATGTTACTATATAATCCACCCCATATAACTGAGAATAACCCTTAGAAACCAGTTGGGCTTTCAATCGTTCCATACTACCGTTTGGTAAATATTTAACATCTCTTAAGCAATTTTGCAAATACCTTGTAAACACCAACTTGGGAGCTCTAATACCACTTTGTTGGGGTTTCACAACAATCACTCATAGAATAAAACCACAAAGCGTTTGAAATAGCAATCAAGAAAAAATCCAATAGCAACAAAAATAGCGAAACCCAAGAAGACAAATAAAATAAACACCACCAAGAACACAAAGAATTTACATGGTTCAGCTTTACTTCCTACATCCATGGGAGAGATGAAAAACTGTTCACTATGAAATACAATGAGAAACAATATAGGCACCTTGGGATTTATAGCCGAAACCAATCCTTAACCCTTGTACACCATTTCTCCCCCTCTCAACCTGAAAAACAAAAATAAGAGAAAACTCCTCTTACACCAAGAGTGCTCTCTTTCTCTCTACCTCTCTTTTTTCTTCTCCAACAAGAAAAAGAGTAAACATCTCTCTCTCTCTCACAAACCCAACCCTACATACAAAATAAATCTTTTATATGTAAAACCCTCTTTAACCTAAAGAGGGATCACACTGACTGTTAGATTAAAAATAATCCAGAGATTGAAAAATAAGACACAACCCTAATAAGACTTAGATCGAATTTGGATTTAACCCACATCTAACTTATTGTGTTTAAAATTGTGAAAAAAACAAAACTTTTAAAAAACCAATCATATTTAACTTGTTAATGTATAAAAACGTATATAAATATGAAATATTAAATTTATCAATTATAAATTATTCCATTTAGTTATATATAGACTTAATTATACTATATATATATATATATAATAGTAATTTTTTTTTTGTTGAACTCTAATTTTAATGGGATTTGGTGAGGTTAATTCCGCATCCCCATCCCAATATTAATCAAATACAATTTCTAAAATTCAAATCCAGGATAATCGGATTTAAGTTAAATTGGGTATTGGGCTTTGGGAGTCCATTGACAGTTCAATGTATAAAGCTAATAATCCTTGCCATATATGATGTACTGTGCTAGTAAATTCAGGAGTTCTTTGAATCCCCTTTGTGAGTTACAAAGTTATTGGGTCAATCATTATAAACCATGTCAGCTTCACATGTGGGTGGAGCTAGAGGTGTTCACAGTCTGGTATGGTGCAGTTTAAAGATGTCAGACCAAACTAATAAATTATGGTTTGAAAAATTTCTAAATCAAACTAAACCGTTTTATTACCGTTTGGTGCAATTTTTAATACAACTTGGGGAACTTTGGACCATATATTCTTTGACTTCATTGGGCTTAACCCAATTAGAAATCCAAATAGAACCCTAAAATTAAAACTTAAAACTTTTGTTTTATTATTTTATTATAAAATGAATATATATTTATACTATTTTATATTTGGTTTAGATATATCTTATCATATTATATATAATATTTATACATCATTTAGTTATATAATTATATTGTATATTTATAAATTTATATTTTATATAATATATATAATTTCAATTTACAATTTATGATTTGGTTTATAAGTTCAAAAAACCAAATCGAAACCACAAACCGCAATTTAGTAAAATATGAAGCTGAACCAAACCTCTTTCCTATATAGACTGAACCAAACCACAAATTTAGTTTGATTTGGTTCGGTTTTGCAGTTTGAACCAAACAATGAACACCCTTAGGTGGAACTCACATGTATGTAGCTGGTGTGTGATTGGTCTACAAGGATTCGGGACAAAGTCTGGTATTTCCAGATAGTTGCACGATTGCATTTACTAAGTAGCGACCGACGGTGGTTCATGGCAGGATCTATGACTCATTGTAGCAGAGACATGGGATTAAATCTCGTTGCCACCAGGGTGTTGGAGGGGGTTTATGGGTAATTTGAATGGAAAACCGTTCTGTTTGCAAGTAATTATAGTAAAATAGTAGAGGCTGGAGTGAGAATTTGCATCTACACCCCACAACACATCCCAACTATGTATTAATAATATTTTACAATGACAACTACGGAAAATGTTTCCAATGCATGCTGAGATGTGCTCTGTGGGGCACAAATGTAAACCCCTAGAGTGAGCCGGGATATTCTGCAATTTCATTCAGTCTATGACAGGTGTCCTATTATATGGTATTTATATGTGCAAGGGGGAATGCAGGCAATCCTGACTTGATTTGGACTGTGAGGCATATGAACTACCAAGTTGGGATTTGCTGCATTTATCCTATACTTCCATTCTTTTTAAAACAATTATACTTATTGTAAATACTAAATCTATTATATATATATATATATATAAAGTAAGGTTGTCCATGCCACCATGCCTCTCCTTACTCCAAACCCCCAACATTTTTCTCTCCCTCCCCTTTTCCACCACTCTCAATAAGCCAAGTAATCATACTCTCCCTTTTTATCCTACACTTCCATTCAATTTGTGTTTTAACAGTGCAGCTATGGTACTGTTGTTCATTTATTAGGTTGTAGATTGTAAGTTGCATAATGGGCTGCAATTGCATAGCCAGATAAAATTTGTTTCTCATTTTATGATAATCTCATCTGTTTCGTATCACAAACGTCCAATTCATTTGGCTTCACATCGGCAGAAGGATTATTGGGAAGGATCCCCGCTGTAGCGGTGTGTTGGGTCAAGAAGATGACATTTTCGGGTATGTGGGTCGGGTCTCTTCTATATTTTTCAATTTTCATTAGTCGGATCAATTCACTAATTATATGGTTAAAGTGATTTACACCTCTCCGCTTTACTAATTAAATATTGTTTAATAATTAATTAGAGAATGACCCGCATTATAAAGTAAATAAGAAAAACTAATATGGGTCTTACATCTTTGTAATTCACAATCTATTATATGACCTATTTTATTTTGCTTTTTGAAAATCACTATTAATTTATATTATTTTTAATATGATTTAAGAGATTAAATGAGGTCTTATTTGTAAATAACAATTCAATTTAATTGGTATTTACAATTTATTTTGAAATTTTTATGTTTTTTTTAATAAATAACCATATTTGTATCACTTCAAAAGTGGATTGAATGTGTTTGAATAAACCACTTCTAAGATAGTTATTATTCTATTTGAAAGTGGAATTAATCACTTTTGATATCCTCTCTTTTAAGACAATTGGAGAGCCACACATCTGAATGGAAGGGAATGTTGCCTAAATAATTATTATGTATCAAATAGAAAATTAATTAATGACACTTCGGTTTGCTTGGGCGC